GTTGTTGTTGCTGTTCCTCTGAGCTTATAGAGTAGGAATGTGTGTGTGAGCGTGTGTGTGTGTGTGTGTGTGTGTGTGTGTGTGTGTGTGTGTGTGTGTGTTTATCTGTGTGCTTGTCTGTGTGTGGATATGTGTGTGTGTGTGTGTGTGTGCTACTGTGTGAATGTATGAAGACAGACAGACAGACATTCTGTTGATGTGCAACAACAACATCAATAACAACAAACAACAATAACAAGTGCAATAACAATATAACAATAACAACAATAACAATAACAATACCGTCATAGCCATATCACCACCATCAGTATCATCATCATCATCATCATCATCATCATCAACGACAACAAAAACAACAATAACAACAACAACGACAACAATGAAAACAAGCCACCTCTCGTTGCTTGAACGACAACTCACTTGTATCCGAGCATGTTACAGATGACTGTAGCGTCCACATTCTCCCAGTAGTCGTCACAGATCCTGTACTTTCCCCGACCAACTATCACCTCTACATTGCCCTCGTGTTCATCACGGCCGCCCACAAGCCTCACAGTTATGCCAGCTGTGGGAATAAGCGGTAAGACAGTGTGTTAGTAATCACAATTTTGGTTGGTTTTGCACTCTCAGAATCTAAAAGAAAGCACTGATAGAGGCGCTTACAACCCCCCCCCCCTCTCCATATACAACCCTCATCCCCCAAACTGTCAACCCTCAAAATTGGATAAGAATTCAGTAAATGGAGGAAGCAAGCAAATAAACTAGAAAAAGCAAATGCAAGAGTAGGGTTTTCAGTGAAAGACAATAACAGATAAAGTCGAAAACACATAGGTCTAGATGAGGGGTGTGAAAGAAACAAAAATAACGTTTCTCTAAAAGAGCCCAAAGGTACTGGAGGGTTTATGGCTTATGGTTATAAAAATAGTACACAACAGACACCAGCTGCCGATGCGTAGATCTGATTATAGCTGCAACATAGATTACTTCTTCTTCTTTTTCTTCTTCTTCTTCTTTTTCTTCTTCTTCTTCTTCTTCTTCTTCTTCTTCTTCTTCTTCTTCTTCTTCTTCTCGCCACAACCTGACACGTGTTGGCCGCTGCATGCAGTAATATCGACAGGGCCATCTTCCTCCAGTTGCTCTGGCTTTTGCTGGCCGCTTTGGCTTCAATGATTTTTAGGCCGCTGGATTCGAGGATGTTGCCAGTGAGATCGAGGAGCTAATGTTCGCCCCACAATAAAAGGTCAAAAACCATACACTCACAGGTTCGCGGTGGTGTCGTCACGGGCGGTCTCGATGGCCGTGTAATGGGTCTCCGAGTCGTCGTCGTTGTTGTTGTTGTTGTCGTCGTTGTAGTGGATGTGGTGGTGCTGACAGTGGTGGTGGTCGGTGGCCTGATGTAGCACTTGACAGCCGCATCCTCCTCGTGGTCACAGTCATGTTTGCCCCAGCCTGAGAACTCACACTCGGCCAGGGTTTTCTCCGACCCGCGACACTCCAGGTTGTCCTGCCAGATAGGTCCGGTGCCTGGGCCAAACGCCCCGCCCGTCACGGCTTTACCCCCGTGCCTGCGACATATGGAAAACATTTCCGCGCTATTTACCGATCGTATAAAAGAACAACATACTTAGGGAACCTAAACAAATGGGTAACAGGGAAAGTTCAGGGAAACGTAGCTTTTTTTGAGAGCATCCGAGCAAAGGAATGAATGGAGAACAATGATCGCCGATGTCTGTCGCAGATCTGGCACTGGATGATGATGATATTTGCGCGGCAAACTTAAAATTGCGCCGCGCGCTTTAACGATCGTATAATTGCGCGGCAATCTGAAGATTGTGTTAATATTTTATATTTTTGAAATAATTGTTTTATTTTTTTTTATTCACCATCTTCATTCTTTTACTTACATCAAGGAAAATTCACATATATTTTCAATAGTGTAAAAATATGAAAATTATAATTAACTTATGAAACTGAAGAGCTCACAAGAATGATGCAATGCTAAGTATCAAACTCAAAGTTCACTATTAGTACGAAGTTAACATCCACTGCAAGTTTCGAGGAACAGACAAGGAACAATCAGGATCGAATGTGAATCTGGCTTGGAGTGGCACCATTTCAAGTGTAGTGGACTGAAACCCGGAGATTAGATGTACTTCGTGAACTTTGAGTTGATACCTGGCATTTTTCATTTTTGTGAGCTCTTCAGCTTCATTTGTTAATTTTAATTTTAATTTTGATTTTGATTCTCATATTTTTTACACTTTTGAAAATACAACGTATATGTGAATGTTTCTTGATGTGAGTAAAAGAATAAAGATGGAAGTGAATTTTCTTTTTAATTATTTAAGAAATTATATTATTAAATATTTATGA